CGCGCTCAATCTCTCGTACTTAGACCTATCGTTTTCGTTCGTGTTGCGTTCCCCGCCACAATTCGGCACGCACCTCATGCGGTTCGTGGATTCGTGGCTCCATAGGGAGCACCACCGAAACAAAATATTTTAATTGCGGTACCCATAACTGCATATGGTTGGGTCCTTCGCCAGGATAATTTGTTTTTTTGAGGCCCTGTTGGAACCGACTTGGGCCACTTTCGGGCTACAGTGGCGCGTCTCAAGGCCATCTGGAGCTATCTTGAGGCTCGTGTGGGCCCCCAAGAGGCCCAAAGGACCGAAATCATAGATTTACCGTCGGTTTTCCTAGGCTTGGGAGGCCCAGAGGGGTCCGCCACGTTTGGGTCGGCGGAAGTGGCGCGATTCCAGGGGGTTGGGGGGAGACATAATGACGCAACGCAGTTCAATTATGTAGCAATTTTGCAACGCTTGGAAACATTTGGTACGTTGCACTATTGCCTCCGCAGAAAACGCTGCCGCTCAGCACGTCATTTCCGGACGTGGATTCCTCTCGCTTCGCAGGGTGCACGTCCGGAGCACGTGCAGTCCAGTCGTTGCGAGGCCTGGTGGGTGCCTTTTTCGGGGGCTTTTTGGAAATCTTTTGAGAGCGAATTGCGGCCTCCTGGGAGCTTGTTTTGGGCCTCTCGCGGTCTCTTGGGGACTACTCCCAGCGGACAGTGCGGCTCCACTCGCGGCCCGACCCCGCTTCGGGGGGAACACAGCTGCCGACGCGAAGATGGGCTGCGAGCCGAGGAAACCAAAGCTGCGCCGAACTCTGAGCGGAACAGCGTTCCGGAAATCGCGGAACACTTTCCCCGAACGCCGTTTCATCTTTCTTCTCCACGAGCCACGTCGTGGACGACCCAGGTCACCAGATTTGCATCATGGGTTCCGCTTCTTCTTGCGCGCACAGTTTTGGCCAACCGACCAGACAAGACAATTGTGGACTGGCTCTCAGACGCTCCCGGGCGGCCGTTCTGGACCCCAACTCCACACCACAGAATTGGACGACGTCCTAGGGGTCCGTTTTGGCAACCTCCTGGGTCCTGTTGGGGGCGTCCTTAAAGCCCGGAGAACTGGACGGAAAGGCAAAGTCATTCAATTGTTTAGTTCCTTAAACAACGAATGCGATGGTGGCTAACTGTCCTTAAACAGCGAATGGTTCGATGTTCGATGGGTCCCAGCTTTGTGGGCATAGAAGGTTGTAGGGTCTGGAGTTCGAACACTTGCTGCTAGCGTGCCCTGCCGGCTGAGCCCGCGCGCCGTGCCGTGCCGTGCCGTGTTTTGTTTCGAAATTGCTGGAAAGTTACCGTTTTGGGCCGTGCTCTGTCTCGAGAGTGCGGAGCAATTTGGCAATTTGCGGCCCGCGCCGTGTTGTGCGTGCTTGGTTCTGCGAGTGCGTGAACATGGTAGTGTTGTGCCGTGCTGTGCTCGCCTTCTAGATTGCGAAAAATGTGCCGCCCATCTGTCGTGCTTCGCTTGGTTTCGAAAATGCGAAGAACTGTTGTGGCGTGCCGTGCCCGCGTACCCTGCCATGCTTGGTTCCGAGAGTGCGAAAAGGTTGCCGTGCAGTGCCGTACCCCCGTGCCGTGCCGTGGCGTGCTTAGTGCCGAGACTGCGACAAAGCTGCCGTGTCGTGCGCTGCTGTGCCGTACCCGCGTGTCGTGGCATGCCGTGCCTTTCCGTGTTTGGATTCGAGTGGGTGGAGAGATCCTGCGCCGTGCTATACCATGCTTGCGTACTGTGTCGTGTTTGGTTCCGAGAATGCGAAAAAGTTGCCGTGCCGTGCCCGTTGATCGTGCCCGTTTATTGCGCCGTGCCGTGTTTGCTTGGAAAGTCGGCGTGCCGTGTCGTGCCCACGTGCTGTGCCGTGCCGTGCTTGGTTTCGATAATGCAAAAGGATGCCGTGCGGTGCCGGCGTGCCGTGCCGTGCCGTGCCGTGCCGTGCCGTGCCGTGCCATGCTTGGTTTGGAAAATGCGAAGTTGCCGTGCCGTGTCATACCCGCGTGCCGTACTTTGCCGTGCCGTGCCGTGCTTGGTTTCGAGATTGCGAAAAATTGGCGTGGCATGTCGTGCCCGCGTGCCGTGCCGTACTGTGCCGCGCTTGGTTATTAGAATGCAAAAAAAATGCCGTGTCGGCGTATCGGGCCGTGCCCGTGCTATGCTGGGTTTCGAAGAACGTGCGAAATGGCCGTGCCGTGTCGTGACCGCGTTCTGTGCTTTGCCGTGCCCTGCCGTGCTTGGTTTCGACAGGACGAAGAAGTTGCGGTGCCGTGCCGTGCCCGTCCGCCGTGCTGTGCCGTGCTTGGTTTCAAGAGCGCGAGAAAAATGCCGTGCCTGGCCGAACCCGTGCGCCGTCCCTCGCCGTGCTTGGTTACTCAGATAGGGAATGTCGCCGTGCCGTGCCATGTCGTGTTTGATTTACGGAATGCGGGAGAGATGTTGGACCGTGGCGTGTTTTGCCACGCTTGTTTTCGAGGATGCGCCAGACTGCCGTGCTGTGTCGTACCGACCATGTGTCTTTACATGCGGCGCCTGTGTTTAGTAGGGCTTTCTGCCGGATGAAGCGCCAAACGGATCGGCGATTGCGTTTGTCCGCATGAAAACCTTTTCTGCGTGCTGGAATGCGAACAGGGTATCCTGCGCATTCCGTGCCGTGCGCTTGTGTCGTGCCCGCGTGCTGTGCCGCGCCCGCACTGTAGAATGCGAGCAATGTGCCGCCCGCGTGCCGTGTCGTGCCCGCGTGCTGTCCCGTGCCATTGCTTTAGTTTGTGAGCCGTGTCGTGCCCGCGGCGCTTTAGACTACGAGATGTGTGCCGCCTGCGTCTTCGCCTCCGGCTCCTGTCCAAGGCGTACCTTTTCCTGTGCAACCTCTTCGGCACCGCCTGCACCCCGCGACCTCCGGCCGCCTGAGGCCCCGCCCGCCCGCGCCTTGTCTCCCCAATTAGTGTTTTGCGCGCCCCGCCTAGCTCTTAACCAGAAGAGGCCCGCTCTCGACCCGCAGACCAAAAGTGTGCCGCCTGCGCTCCGTTCCGTGACGTGCCATGCGTGCAATGCCGTGACGCGTGCCGTGCCGTGCCTTCGTTCCAGAATGCGGGCGAGCATGTGCCGCCCGCGTGCCGGGCCGTGCCCACGTGCCGTGCCTTATCTTTGTTTTATGATCCGGAAACATACGAGACGCCCGCGTGCGTTGCCGCGCCTGCGTTATAGAATGCGACAAATGTGTCGCCCGTGTGCCGTGCCAGGCCGTGTCGTGCCCGCGTGCTGTGTTATGTTTGTGTTTTAGAATGCGGAGAAACATGCCCGCGTGCCGTGTCGTGCCAACCTAGTGCGCTATCATGCGAAGATTGTGTGTGAGGATGTTATGCCACTTGAACTGCGGACCGAATCGGTTATGGCGCATGTGTGTATGAAAGCGGGTGTCCGCGATGTAGAATGCAAGAAATGTGCCCCCCGTGTGCCGTGCCTTTCACGCGTGTTGTGCCGCGCCCGCGTGCCATGCCGTGCCCGCGTTCTAGAATGCGAAAAATGTACCGCACGCGTGCCGTGCCGTGCCGTGCCATGCCATGCCCGCGTGCCGTACTGTGCCCGCGTGCCTTGTTTTGCCCGCGTTTGAGATTGCGAAACATGCAACCCTGCTCGCGGTTCGCCGTGGATCGGTTACAACCCGCGGCTCGAACAAGGATTGGCCCCCTGTCCCCGGTCCAGACGGGTTACCACTTGCGCCCAGGACACAAGGGTTTCCCCGTGCACCTGGTTCGGCCGCGGATCGGGGTCACAACCCGCGGCCCAGACAAGGTCTGGCCCCCCGCCGCCCGTAAACCAGTTTCTATATGTCGTCTTGCCCTAGTTGCCGTGTTTCGTGATCTGCTCTCAAAGCAGAGGGGTCCCAACCATCATTGGGCTTTCAAATCAGATGACTCTGATCAGCCAAACACGCAAAAGGCTTGAGACATCCCCACAATCCGGCCGCGAACGGGCAAGTGTCAGAACCCCCTGGCGGCTCGGCGGCTCCTTGTGGTGGCCACATGCCACGCGTGCTATATCGCGGTGGCCACTCGGTTTTCAAAACAGATGAGTCAGATCGACCAGACACGCAAAGAGCCAGAGACATCCCCACAATCTGGTCGCGAACGGGCCAATTTCATACAACCTGGCGGCTCTTTTTTGGAGTGGCCAAGTGCTACGCCCGCTATGTCGCGGTGACCACGGGGCCCTCAGTTGAGATGAGTCTGATCAGCCAAGCACGCAGACATCGTGAGACATCCCCACATTCTGGCCGCGAACGGGCAGGTGTCATACCCCCCGGCGGCCCCCCCTTGGTTGTTTGCACGAGTGTCACGCCTGATATGTTGCGATAAGCAACGTGAGTGTGACTGATCATAGTACGGGTGTTATGCGTGTATGAATCCTAGTTTGTTTTGCCTAGGTATGAGTTGATCCGGGGAGTGGTCTGTGTATGAGCGAGTCTGCACATGGACAAGTCTGAGTATCGCTGGATTTGGGTGGCAGCGAGTCTGCGTATCCATGGATCTGAGTATGAGTGAGTCTGAGTCTGGGTCGGTCTGAGTAAGAGTGATCTGAGTGTCGTGAGAGGGAGGAACGAGCCGGGATTGAGGAGGTGGAGGCGTCCCGATAATCACAATAAGTCCATACTTAGGATAGTGGGAGCAAGAAGAGCACGTAATAATACCCTATGTGCAAGCACTGTTTGTGGAATAGCTGAATGACAGGGTGGAGGCCATGCCTTGCGCCGCCTGCAACTAGTGGTGCGGCGCTCGCGTGCCCAGTGCAGCGTGGCTTGCCCCCCATTTCCCTCCCAGCCGCTCCTCCTGCCCCTCCTGTGGCTGCTGCTGCTCCTCGTCCTACGCCTTCTCGTCCTGCCACTTTTCCTCGCTCTTGCGCATGCGCCTCTGCCCACTTCTCCGCCTTTGGGATGCAATTTCGAGGAGGATGCGCAGTCTTTTGGCTTCGCACAGGAGAACGTGGGCACCGCGGAGCTCTGGTTGGCTTTCGGGGTGGCTGCGGGCAGAACGAAAGTGGCAGTAGCCAGACAAGTTGTGAGGGTGCTGTTGATCGCATGTCGAGTCCACCTTCAGACGTAGCACTCTGACAGTCCAGCCCCCTGCACGTGGGCGGACCGCCGACGTCTACTTTTGGAGGCAAGACCCTTGCCTCAAGCACAGGAATTGCCAGAAACAGTTGTAGACGCAGGCACGCCGTCATCCAACTTTGAAGGAGGAAGATGAGGAGGACGAGGAGGAGGACGAGGAGGAGGAGGAACAGCAGCAGTCTGGTGATCACGACCATGCGGACACGGCGTTCGATGATAAAGTCGGACACGAATCTCCGACCGCATCGGCAGCCTGCGGCGGTGGGCTTGGATGCAACATCACCCTGGAGGGAGGGAAGGGGGAGTGGAAGATGGAGGAAGGATGGGGGGGAGGGATGGATGGATGGATGGGGGAGGGGTGAGGGAGGGAGGTGGGGGATCGAAGGAGAGGGAGGGGAAACGGAGCGACAAAGGAAGTGGAGAGAGGGAGACAGGGAGGGGGACGGAGTGCACATCGTGATGGTGATCGTGATGTTCAAGAGGAAGTTTCTGACGGTGATGTGTGGAGTTGATGCTGACGCTGGTGATGACGATGGTTGTGGTGGCCATGACGATGGTGATGAGGGTGATGCTGATGCTGCTGCTATTGATGATGACGATGCTGATAATGCTGGGGATGAAGATGATGATGATGACAATGATGCTGCTGGGGATGATGATTATGATGATGACGATGTGATGATGATGCTGATGATGATGATGATGATGATGATGATGATGATGCTGATGCTGATGCTGATGAGGATGATGATGATGATGATGATTATGATGATGATGATGATGATGGTGATGATGATGATGATGGCGATGACGACGACGATGCTGATGGCGATGATGATTATGCTACCGTCGATGCGAGTGATGGTGACTCATAGGCTTACGCCACATCCGCCGACCCCTTAACTGAGTTCAAGGTTTTGATTGTACTTTTCGGTGTTTGGAGGCTTCTTGGGGAGGAAAGGCAGAATTTCAGGTTCGAAGTTCCCCTCTTGGGTCCGTGTTGGGGCCAGCTTGGAAGCTGTTTCCCAACCCTCCTGCGTTGGGTTCTCGTTTTGAATAGAGCACTGCTCGCGCGTCTCTTTCCCACCCCCTCCCGTCCCTCTCTTCCCCCTTGCCTTTCGCCTCGCTCGTCGCTGCGTGCCAGCAGGGGGGCTGCGATCTGTGAAACTGTCGCCACTTTCGAGGGCAGCTGGGGGGCCCAGCACAGTGGGTACCCACGGCGGGTTCAAATGGGACCTCGCCATCCCTGGGGGGCTGCGATCTGTGAAACCGTCGCCGCTTTCGAGGGCTGCTGGGGGGCCCAGCACAGTCTGCACCCGCGGCGGATTCAAATGGGACCTCGCCATCCCTGGGGGGCTGCGATCTGTGAAACTGTCGCCACTTTCGAGGGCAGCTGGGGGGCCCAGCACAGTCTGCACCCGCGGCGGATTCAAATGGGACCTCGCCATTCCTGGGGGGCTGCGATCTGTGAAACTGTCGCCACTTTCGGGGGCTGCTGGGGGGGCCCAGCACAGTCTGCACCCGCGGCGGATTCAAGTGTGACCTCGCCATCCCTGGGGGGCTGCGATCTGTGAAACTGTCGCCACTTTCGAGGGCAGCTGGGGGGCCCAGCACAGTCTGCACCCGCGGCGGATTCAAATGTGACCTCGCCATCCCTGGGGGGCTGCGATCTGTGAAACTGTCGCCACTTTCGAGGGCTGCTGGGGGGCCCAGCACAGTCTGCACCGCGGCGGATTCAAATGGAACCTCGCCATCCCTGGGGGGCTGCGATCTGTGAAACTGTCGCCACTTTCGGGGCTGCTGGGGGGCCCAGCACAGTGGCACCCACGGATTCAAATGTGACCTCGCCATCCCTGGGGGGCTGCGATCTGTGAAACTGTCGCCACTTTCGAGGCCTGCTGGGGGGCCCAGCACAGTGGGTACCACCGGCGGATTCAAATGGACCTCGCCATCCCTGGGGGGCTGCGATCTGTGAAACTGTCGCCACTTTCGAGGCCTGCTGGGGGGCCCAGCACAGTGGGTACCCACGGCGGATTCAAGTTAGACCTCGCCATCCCTGGGGGGCTGCGATCTGTGAAACTGTCGCCACTTTCTTACCTCGCTCGTCGCTGCGTTTCGAGGGCTGCTGGGGGCTGCGATCTGTGAAACTGTCGCCACTTTCGAGGGCTGCTGAGGGGCCCAGCACAGTGGGTACTCACCGCAGACTCAAATGTGACCTCGCCATCCCTGGGGGGCTGCGATCTGTGAAACTGTCGCCACTTTCGAGGGCTGCTGGGGGGCCCAGCACAGTGACCCGCGGCGGATTCAAATGTGACCTCGCCATCCCTGGGGGGCTGCGATCTGTGAAACTGTCGCCACTTTCTTACCTCGCTCGTCGCTGCGTTTCGAGGGCTGCTGGGGGCTGCGATCTGTGAAACTGTCGCCACTTTCGAGGGCTGCTGAGGGGCCCAGCACAGTGGGTACTCACCGCAGACTCAAATGGGACCTCGCCATCCCTGGGGGGGCTGCGATCTGTGAAACTGTCCACACTTTCGAGGGCTGCTGGGGGGCCCAGCACAGTGGGTACCCACGGCGGATTCAAATGTGACCTCGCCATCCCTGGGGGGCTGCGATCTGTGAAACTGTCGCCACTTTCGAGGGTTGCTGGGGGGCCCAGCACAGTGGGTACCCACCGCAGACTCACATGGGACCTCGCCATCCCTGGGGGGCTGCGATCTGTGAAACTGTCGCCCCTTTCGAGGGCTGCTGAGGGGCCCAGCACAGTGGGTACTCTCCGAAGACTCATATCAGACCTCGCCATCCTTGGGGGGCTGCGATCTGTGAAACTGTCGCCACTTTCGAGGGCTGCTGAGGGGCCCAGCGCAGTGGGTACTCACCGCAGACTCAGATTTGACCTCGCCATCCCTGGGGGGCTGCGATCTGTGAAACTGTCGCTACTTTCGTGGGCTGCTGAGGGGCACAGCACAGTGGGTTTCCCGCACGTCTTTCTCCTGCTCTTCGTTCCCGACTCCCCATGTCCTCTTCGAGCCTGTAGTTGTCGCCCCTCGTTCTTGTATGGTTCTCCTGCGCATCATGCCATTGGCGCGTGTCCCAAGTAGCTTACATATCAAACAACGGATCCTGCAATTTGATTGTCCGTGCAAGTTTCGGCCAACTCCTCGTTTCCCATGATACAAATGGGTTGGGTACGTCACAGGGTAATTGGCCGGTCATGGGGACTCTGGGCCGTCTTGGCGGTTTTTTAGGCCGTCGTGGGGGTCTCTTGGGCCGTCTTGGCGCCTTCTTGGGTGTTTTTTGGCCCGTCTTGGACGTAGTAACAGGCCAACAGGCGAATCTGATAAACATGTACGTTTACCCAAGGGACTTTGACAATTTTGTCGTCTTGGGCAGTCCTCCAGGAGCCACTTGTAGGTCTGTTGGGGCGCCTTGCAAACATCCAGGACCGTCTGGAGGCCATTGTGTGAGTTTGGGAACGAACTTTCGGCGATTTGAGGCCCTCTTGGGCCGTGTCCGCGGCCGGGGGAGGTCACATTTCCTGTTTGTGGTCCCAGGGGTGTGGGGGAATATGGGGGGGGGAGAACCTCACGCGCCTAGAGACCCACGCGGGGTCGGCGAACTTCCAATCATCGGGCGACAAGCGCTGCCTAAGTCGCGGCACATGCAGGCATGGGGCCACTCAGTACTCGATCGTCAATACCTAATACTGAAAACGATTGAGGACCTCAGGACGCCCCATCAACATCCCAGATCACGCCCCTCTCCGGCCTTTCTGATCCGCGCCGCGCGGGCCTCCCCGTGTCGGCTCCCCCCTATCCACTCTGCCAGCCATATCCGAGGGCGTCATTTGTGCCAGCCGCGGCCTCAGACCTAGGGGCCCGCGCAGCGACGAAACTGGAGCGTCAAACCTCTGGCCCTTCTCTTGTCGGATGAGGAAGAGACGGAGGAGGGGGGGGGGGAGGAGGAGGAGGGAGGAGGAGGGAGGAGGAGGAGAGGAGGAGGAGGAGGAGGAGGAGGAGGAGGAGCAAGAGGAGGAGGAGGAGGAGGAGGAGGAGGAGGAGGAGGACTTTTTTCCTTTGCGAGCCAGTGGGCAGGACCGAGGGGGCACAGTTTGCCTGCGTCGCACACCTGTGCATTCAGCATGCGCTGGGTTGACCTGCTTCACAAGTATAGCGCACGCTCCTGAAACATTAAACCGAGCCCGACTCTGAATCCACGCGGATCAGGGGAGTCTCATCCTCCCCTTGGGAAAGGGTGGTTCAGACACGGCGCAGAGCCTCGACTTCCATGGGCTCCGACCCTGAGGAAGCAGCAGGTATGTGGAGAAAACGAGCGGCCTCCTCCTCCTCTGCAGCAAATACATCAACTGGATCTGCAGCCGCCGCACTCGGGCTGGCACGAACCGTGGCCGAGCTCGGCGGCAGCGAAGACGAAACAGTGGGCACAACACTGTCTGAAGCTGGCGGCGGGAACCCGCTCGCGAGTTCGCGTGCCTGGATTCTCGAAAGCATCGCCAACATGCCAGGCGTCTGAATCAGGCCATCCACGCCTGTGGCCTGCGAGGAGAGCTCGGCAGGCGGCGGCGTGGTTGCAGCATAGCACAAATAGTTAACACCCCTCCTAGAAGAGGTCGAAACTCGCTCTTCTTCGTTTCTGTAGTGGGGATGAATGCCCCAACAAATGCGAGGGAGCGTCGTTTTAGCCCCTGGCAGCTTCTTACCAATACATTCTTGGCCCAGTTTAAACCACCTGCGCGTGGTACATGCCCCGCAGGTGGTGCAAAACATGATGCACGAGACCTTATCTTTACAAAAGACCAGGGTTTGCCGGCCGAGCAAAATTATGCCGACTGACGCCGGGGCACCCGTCGCCGTCGCCTCGCCCCCATTTCCTCCCCGCCGACGCGGG